AACGGGCCCTTCCCCTCACTTTTAACTTTTGGGCCAGATAACTTGTGTGCCGGAGTCCCATAATTCATATCTTGAACAACACACCCAGGTACTGGGAGGACATAAAGAGGAAATTTTTCTAATTTATGCGGATCAATCACCATCCGCCTAAATACATTCTTCTTGTACGTTAAGGGATCCGCTGGCTCATAAGAGCTTGCCTTGAAGGGGTGGTATGTATTCCCTGAAAAGAAAGCAAAAAGAAGGAACCCCTTAGTATTTTTTCTAATTTCCCTCAGTCTGATAAAAACTCACATTGCTCAAGGATTTCAAGAAAATCTTCTTTGGTATTCGCCTTAAAATCACTTGCACTCGACACCCCTGGCAGCGAAGAAGGTCGGGCTACAGTCCCTTTAGGAAGGGCAAACCTCCTTGTTTCCACCTGCACTGTAGCTACTTGTAGATCCATCGCATTTTTTCCTCCGGATTCACCCCCTTCTGTCAAGTCTATCTCTTCAACATTTGTGGAGGTCCTTGGACGTTTGCCCCCCGCCACTTCTGGTCCTTTTAACATACTCAATAATTCAGCAATTGCGCGTTTGTTATTTGTACGTTCCTTCGAGGCCTCCACCGCCTCCTTCATCCAACATTCTTTTATAGCCTGAGGGCTGCCAAAATGAATCTTGGTCGACCCTGTCAACCATGTTTGAAGACTCCCAGCTGGGAAGGCTATGCAAATTAAAAACAAACAAACAAACAATTACTACTTATTTCCCAATTACTGGGCCATCTCTGATATTTTTACCTCTCGCAACTGCTGTCACTGCTAATCCCTCAGCCAAGTAAATTTCATTGATGCCGCTCAGTGCCCCTTGAAACACACTAGCATGTCTCTCCAGTTGATTTGTCAGAGAAGCTTCTAGAATCGCATTTTGGCTTTCCTCCCTTTCTTTAAGTACCTCCAAAGTCTCTTGACTTTCCTCCAATTCTTGCTTTTGCCTCTCTAGCTTTTCCTTTTCTGCCATAATCGCTTGAAGAACTCTCCTTTGACTCGAGATATTTTCGGCGTATTGCTGAGATTCCTTCTTCAGACGCTCCAGTTCTACTTTCAACCCATCCCGCCCAATCTTAGCATTTGTTTCCGCCTCAAGAAAGGGCAAAAAATCACCCATACGCTGTAGACCCTCCTCCGACAAAGATCGGAGCTTCTCAGCAATATTTTCTGCCGATTTTGGCAGCTTTACCACCACCTCTGGTTCTGTCTGACTTTGGTCTAATGACGCCTCCCCCGATCCCTTAAGATCCTCTTGATGTTCAACTAATTAATAACTGAGATTCCTTCTTCAGACGCTCCAGTTCTACTTTTAACCCATCCCGCCCAATCTTAGCATTTGTTTCCGCCTCAAGAAAGGGCAAAAAATCACCCATACGCTGCAGACCTTCCTCCGACAAAGATTGGAGCTTCTCAGCAATATTTTCTGCCGATTTTGGCAGCTTTACCACCACCTCTGGTTCCGCCTGACTTTGGTCTAATGACGCCTCCCCCGATCCCTTAAGATCCTCTTGATGTTCAACTAAAGATCGGAGCTTCTCAGCAATATTTTCTGCCGATTTTGGCAGCTTTACCACCACCTCTGGTTCCGCCTGACTTTGGTCTAATGACGCCTGCCCCAATCCCTTAAGATCCTCTTGATGTTCAACTAAGTAATAAAAATAAACTGAACAAAAGTTTTCATTCTTCCCAAATATATCTGTATATCTATATATCTACCTTCGGTCACCTCCTCCTCATCCTCCAACTCCTGAAGAAGGATTGGAAGCTGAGAAACCTCCCCCTGGTCCTCCAAAACTTCACTATATGATTCGTTTGGTTCTTCCTCCCCAAAAAATGGCTCCGGAACCTTATCTGACTCTGACATTGTCTTAAGAGAAATTTTCCTTTCTGATTTGCTTAACGGAATGAACTTGTTTTCAACTCAAAAATCCTCTAAAAACAAAAAACACGAATAATAACACACTGCAAAAAAAAACCATAAAGGAGGGGGGGCCAAAAAACCATTTCTGGTAAGCCCAAGTCGCACTCCCCCAATGCTTATAATCAATCATCAAAGAAAAGAGGA